AGGTAGTTTTACTGCCCTCTAGTGGAGGAGAGTGTAATTGTGCCGCGGCACAGTGGTTGGGAAACACTGGTCCCACAGTTTTTATTATTATTATTATTATTATTATTATTATTATTATTATTATTATTATTATTATTGTTAATATTATTATTATTATTATTATTATTATTGTTGTTGTTGTTGTTGTTGTTGTAACAAAGACAAAAGTGTACATTCTGTTCAGTCTTTTGACAGATTTTTATCTTGACAAATGCAATATTTATGAATATGTGTAAAACTTTCATGTTTCAGATCATGAAACAAATTAAAATCTTAGATATGGATAAGTAAATAGAAAAAGCAGCTTTTATATCATGATATTATTTTTCAAGCTATCCAATCATTCCAATCGCCTCAAACCACAACCGCTCTGAAGCTGCTGTTAATCAACTATGTGCAATATCTCGGTCTTTCCATGTTCTGTGCAATATCTTTGGTCTCAGTGGAATTAACATCCCATAAATACACCATGTATATAGTTCACTCACATATATGTACACATATATAGTGCATTTTTTTCCCCTCGCTGTATATTGTTTTCTCTTCTTTACTTTTGCAACTTTGTGGTCCAGCTACCCAGTTTCGCTGTGCAAGAAACTGCACAATGACAATAAAAAGCTCTAAGTCTCAAAGCTGAGAAAAGTTTATGTGGGACCAGTGTTTTTCACACCCGTAGATGCTTGAAATCACTGAGTCTGACTCTCTTTGGTCTCTGGTTATTACACCACTGCAAAATGCTCCCTGCAAAGATTTAAGGAGCGGCAGGTAAAATATGTTGTATTTAAACTTCCAGGATCTGCTGTTCTTTTTGCTGGTGAAGTGTGTTATGTTATCATGCCCAATAATCTCTCTAAGTTCCACAGAATAAAAGACTGTAGATCCATGAGAGTACGGAAAGAGAAAAAAAAAAGAATTAATTATTTGAAGTGTATGAAACAACTGTCCAGGACTGGACTGATAAGCCCTAGAGCAGATGATCTGAAACAGTTGACAGATGGTGTCCAGAGAGAAACATAGGTCACAGCTGTATAACGTGTATTAGAGGCAGCCATGTAAATCTGTAAAAACTGTAGCTTCTGTGACCAGAGGTGTATTTCCCATACAAGAATATTCAATTCATTATAGTTTTGTTGGACTAACGACATCTATTTGTCAAAGAAGACTAAATATTTATTTTCCAAATACATGAAAAAAGCTATCCATGCCATGGGCTTTCTTTCCGCAGCGTCCAGTTTGTCTGCTAGTAGTTCCTTTAAGGAACACTGGAGAAATCTGCTTTCAGAACACAGTGAATGAATGTGGAGATGATAGTTTCTAAACCTCGTGCTCTTAACAGCGACTGAGGCCTGTTCTCACACTTCTAGGAATTGTCAGTATTGTTTTAGATCACACTTGAAAATTGTCATTCATATTCAGTAAGGTGTACTCGCCATCATCATTGCCATTTACCATTATGAGGTCAGCATAGGCGGGCAGTGATTGGCTCCTTCCCCATGGCCGCATTGAAGGCAGATTATCTTCAGTGGTGTCTGCAGGAGATGATTCATCCAGATGGCTTTCTGGAGTGACTGCACCTCCTGACAGAGAGTACAGGGTGTGCTCCTCCTGCAAGAAACACACACAGGAGTGGGGTGAACATGAAAACTCATATTGTTAAACTTAAGAAACCAGATACATGTTTTCCTCTTTTTACAACACATATTTTATTTGAGATA